ATTAAAGTGAAGTTAGCATCAAAGTTATTCAAGCCAACTCAATAAAAAAGCCAGCAATAACGATACATACCTCTGAAAATAAGTTAAGCGATTCAAAAGTTGAATATTTGAATGTTTGGCGATATAATCATCACATAATTGGAATATCAGTTGCATATCTTCAGGTGCAGAAGACATAGTTATGTAACAAAAATCGCTAGTGAGAGCATGCATGAACAAGTTACAAATTTGATAATATTCATTCAAATGAAAGCGCTCCATTCATTCTTACACCATCCCATTGCATTTGACAAAAAAAAAACTCCAAGTTTCTTCAGTATGCTATTCCCCAGGTCAACACCAACAATCTTCACATACACAAACCAATCAAAGAACCAGTGATCAATCCTGCAGAACAGTTCACAAACAGATCGGTGTGGAAAGACTTCCTAGGGCATACTTTCACGAAAATAAACCCTTCACGTTTTCTCATTCTCAAACGCTAATGTTCTGTTCAAATGTAGGTAATTTTCAAATAAATAAACAAATGAACAACTGAATTAATCAACAATACAGCATTGTGAATATCATCAATCATTCCATAAACCATATCGAAAACAATAACAACAACAACGACCACAACAACAACAAAACAACAGTGAATAACCGATGAATTCAACAAAAACTGGACTGAAGAACGNGTGAGATTAAACTAATGGGCAGATTATAATCTTGAACACTTTCAGAAAACAACATCGCCAAACAATATCACTCACATAGGCATAAGGAGCAACATAGAGGAACATAAGCAAAAGGGCTATTTCAATTCTAAAAGATGTTAAACAGTGAACAATTAAGCGACCATTAAAGAGGCCTCAACCCATTGCTTGAAGAAAAGAATTGCTGAAAAAAATGACCAATAAAATTATACAGTAAACCATACAGATGACCACCCGATTCGTAACAACTTTATTATTTCAAACCAAAGACAATAACAGATAAAACTCAATAAACACTGCTCAGCGAAAATGAAAACAATGACAGCAATAACCATAACAACAGCACTGAAAAAAGCGTTCAAAATATTGTCATCCGACTAACTTTGGCGTTGTTTACAACATCTGACAATCCTAGAAAAGCACCACTCACTCACCGTTAAACAATTCCAAATTGACCACGACTGGAATGAATGCATGGAGGTTTAGCAATACCAGAAACAATGTTTGGCAAACAGATAAAGCGAAACAAGCCAGCTTATACATGAAATCAGAACAAAATGAACGTTGGTATCTCAACCCCCCAAAAAAAGCCAACAACCGAATTGTTCCAAAATATGCTCTCGGAGATTACAAAAATAAAAAACAAACAGA